TATGATGCTGCAGCCAGATGGGGCTTGTCCCCAATTGGGGGCTTGTTGGCCAGGCTTCATTTTTAAATAAAATATTATGTCAAACACAAAATGTTTCAGCATTGTCTTTATTTATCAGAGGGGCGGGGAACCTGTTTTGAGTCACAGATTACTGACCCACAGAAAAGTCAGTTGGGGCCACACAAGTAAGATTCAACCCGTCCAAAAAAACCCAAGACTCACTAATGTAGCCCCAACTGAGACACTTCACTCCCGTGGCATTCCAGCCTCAGGCCAGATTAATTCTTCTGGGGTTCCAGGCTTAGTGGAATTTTTGAGCCTCTTTACACTCTGAAGTGGGGCCAAAAATGAGAGCTGTAGTGTGTAGGACAGGGCTGCCAGTGAGTGGGATAGTAATGGGGGTGCAGAATCTGGGTGGAAAATAGGGTACAGGAACAAGCTGGGGGTAGGTGTCTGGCCAGGAGGGAGGAGACAGGAGCAGGGTGCTGATGGGTGTCTGGCCAGGAGACAGGTGGTGGTGGAAGTCTGGCCAGAGGGCAGGGGCAAGATGCTGGTGGGTGTCTGGCCAGGAGGCAGGGGAAGGGTGCTGGATGGTGTCTGGACAAGGTGCAAGACGGCAGTCTGGCCAGGAGGCAGGAGCAGGGTGCTGGTGGGAGTCTGGCTGCAGGGTGTTGGTGAGAGTTGGGGCAGGAGGCAAGATTCTGTTGCGGGCTGGGGCAGTGTTTCCGGGTTCTGGAGCTGGAGACAGGGTGCTGAGGCAGGAGGCAGGGTGCTGGTGGGTGCTGGGGCAGGATGCTGGGGGCATGGTGTTGGGGCAAGATGCTGGGGCTAGAGGCAGGGTGCTGGTGGGGGTTTGGCCTGAGGGAATGGACAAGGACAGCTTGGTCGGTACCTGGGGATCCCGCAGCTGCACACCAGGTCCGGGGTCTCAGGAAGAAATGCAGGCTGCTCTTCCTTCTCCCAAACAGCCAGGTCTGTTGTGCCACTGGGAACTTCCTTCCCCCTGCTGTGTTCCTGTGCGTGGGTGGGAGTAGGAGTCCCGGGACTTTGCACCAGCTCCAACTTCTCAGGAAGTGTGTTCGTTGCTCCTCCCCTGCCTTCCCCAAAACAGCTACGTGCAGTCCCGGACTCCTACTACCTCCCCTCTTCCCTGCGCATGCAGGAAGGCAGCAGGGGGAAGGAAGTTCCTGGCTGCATGACAGACCAGGCATTTCAGGAAGCATACCATCTGTTTGTGGCAGGGGAAGAGCCGCCGCATTTCAGGAAGCACACCATCTGTTTGGGGGAGGGGAAGAGCAGCCCACGTGCTTCCTGAGACCTGGACCTGGTGCGCAGCTGTGGGACTTCCCCCCCATGCCGCAGGAAGCCAGTGCTAATTTAGCATGCACCAATTTTTGTTATAATTAGGTCATTGCGAGGGAAGGATTATCTCCAGCACTTCTAAAATAACAATTTGGTCTTGAAAAATCAAGTTAATCGACCAGTTGATCATGATCGATGGTTTGGTGATCACGGTTCATGGGGAACATTTTAACCTCCTGGCATTTAATAATAATGGACTTAAAAGTAGCCATTCTTCTACTAAGTTATTTTATCACCCTATTATGGGAGACAATTGAACTGGAGTTCATTTACAACAGGGGTGGTGAGCCTTTCTTGGATGGACGCAGCTGACTCATGGAAAAATCAGTCAGGGGCCGCACACAAGTGAGAAAAAAACTTCACTGATGTGGCGACTAGTTGACTATCTTGTCGACTCTCTGATAAGCATTTGCTTATTGGATAGTTGGCTAGTCAACTAGTCCTTTACATCCCTACACCTCATATGGATTTTTTTTAACTAGCAGCATCTGTTGGGGTTTTTACCAACAGAAGTTGATCCAATAAAAGATATTACCATACCCACCTTATCTCTCTGATATCCTGGGAGCCATGCGGCCATAACCGCATAGCAAACTAAAAATTGTATGTGTGAACTCAAATGCAATCATGTCTAGCATGGAAACAAACTGGCATACTACTGTGCAAGAGGTAAAGACTGCCCTTACTTGAATGATCTAAGTATAACACAAGAAACCATGGATATAAATGGGGACAGTAAAAACCCAATAAGACAAAACAGTTCATTCTAGAAAGTAAGCAGAAAGTAAGTCTTTGTCCTCACATATCTATGTCTCACTGCCAACACCAAGTGTTAAAAAATCACAAGTCAGACACCTTCAATAAGCATGAGAATTTATTTAAAAATAAATTTGGGGTTCATTTTATTTGGCTTCTGTTTTTTTGAAGCTTTATAGTGCATGAAGGTCACATTTTTAAGCTTTTCTCCACAACCATGAGTACTAGAAACCTACTGAAGGTGTTAGCTAAGAACTGACAATCTCAGATCTGGGGACCAGGTTAGGGTCACATATACTGTATGTTTGTTTTGCTTAAAATAGGTATTTGTGTTATAAAAAAGCATATAGTGTTTTGACTCTGTGACATGCTTGTAAATTGCTACAAGCCTCAATCTCATTTGTGTATCTGTATTCTATGCAATAAGAACATATGTAAATGTTGCTTCATAGCTTTACAAATGTGTGCTCTAAACTTGTGAATTTAGGAACGGGAATCATCCCTCTTCAGAGGGCCAGGCCAGGGGATGCTATCAGAAAGTGTGGACCTGCAGGGCGCCCCTCAGCAGCCTGGCCTCCCTGGGCAACTCTTACTATTGTCTGGCTCAGGCTTCCAGCCTTAGAAGAAAAGGATAAAGAAGGAGCAGGGCCTCAGCAGAAGGGCAGAGTGGAGCTCCTGCATGTTTGCTTACTTTAATCTGTAAATAAACTCGTTTATTTTTCTTAGTTAATAAAACTTTAGATATTATTACCAGATTGGCTATGGATGTTGTCTTTAGTGGAAGATCTATAAACCAAAGGAACTCCAAAATACAGCTTTTATAGCCTAAGGGTATTGGTACCACTGGTTGAGAAACACTCATATAGGGTACCAAATGATCTGGAAGAAAGTGACTGGCTTCTTTGGGCCTGGGAACAACCTGATTATGATGTGATTTTTTTATGTCAGTGACCATTTGTCATTCAGTCCAGTTTGTTTGGTTGGCAGACAAAGGCAGTTGTGACTCCATGTAGGAGTGTTTGAATGACACAGGAGTTCACATTTTTATTGGCTTGATGAAAACTAGTGATATGACACCCCACCCGTTTGGCATGTTTGCTCTATTTTTGACTGTCCTGAGCCTGACAGTGTGATGGGGTGGAGGCTTTAATATAACCAACATTGAGAGATAGTAAAAGAATTAGCAACACTGCTGTTCCTAGGTGTTGCTTCATTGGGAAGGCTCTGTTGCAATGTTTCCTCTAATTTTTTCCAGCCATGTGCAGAATACTTTTTTCTTTGTGCCTTGAGGCATGTGGGAATGTGCGTTGCCCATAGAAACACAGAACCTAGCAGAAGGACTCTGTCAATGTGTTGCTAGCATTGTAATCTCTCCTGAGAGGGCTGCACAAGCCCCCAGCTTACAGGGATGGCTGCTTTGGATGGAGCAGCTTTCCCTCTTTCCTGGGGCACGCTGCTCTAAAACAGCAGAAGGCTTCCCTAAGCCCCATTTCAATCACTTCACCCGTTGCCCATAGAAACACAGAACCTAGCAGAAGGACTCTGTCAATGTGTTGCTAGCATTGTAATCTCTCCTGAGAGGGCTGCACAAGCCCCCAGCTTACAGGGATGGCTGCTTTGGATGGAGCAGCTTTCCCTCTTTCCTGGGGCACGCTGCTCTAAAACAGCAGAAGGCTTCCCTAAGCCCCATTTCAATCACTTCACCCCGCAGTCCTCCCGTCCACACAGCAAGCCCGAAGGATTCGCATTGGCTTCCCTCCCCGCTTCAGACGTTAATCCCCCTGG